CATTGGACAGGTATTCTAATGTTTTCTCTGTGTCTGCAACTGGAATCAGAAGATATCTTACCCTGGTGCAGCCACTGGACAGAGAGACACAAGACTCTTATACATTCACGGTACTCCAGAGCCTTTCCATTTGTGTGCACTGTATATAATGTGTGGGTAGGTGACAGAGGGATAAGCATATGAAAGCATTTGAATAAAGCACCTCAAATCCTTAGATCTTTGAGAAAAATGTAGCACTGGTTTTAGAAAAACTCAGAGTAGATGAAAAAGAACAAGTAGAAAGGAGGAGAGGGAGGAAAATGGACAGGAAACGGGGGAGGAATTGTGGGCACCTGTAGCTTTGAGGTCAGAAGTATTTTAAGCTTAACTGATCCACTGTATCCAGTAGGGAGGGAGAAGTGGAAAAAGTGAGGGGTGGAAAAAGTGCAGAGAGGTGAGGAAACCAAAATAAGAGAGCAGGAGGTTACAGAGATATGTTGTAGATGGAGGGGGAAGGAAGGATAGCAAATGAAAGAATAGGAGCAGGAACACTGAGTCTAAAGTTTCACTTCTAGTACATATATTTTAATAGTGGATTCAATTTTATTTCAACACCGCTTCTATACATTAGTTTTCCAGGGCTTTTATGAGTAATTGGCTTGTTTTCTGCATTCAGGCCAGTACTTCCACTGTTTGCTGGAATAGGTATAGAAAACAAGCCGTAATACCCTGGTTATTATATATCGCTTTCCCTTAGTGTTTATTTTTCTGACTTTTATGTGTTCAGTTTGGTACATTGTCTCCTTTTTCCACCTTTCTTTTGTTGTTCTTCTCCCTCTTAACCTGTCATTCTTTCTCCTTTATTCTTTCTTATTTCACTGAAATCTAATTTAGTGGTTTCTTTATTGTTAGGGCACAGAGGCCAAGCACAGAGCATCTCCCTCCCTGTCTCTATGCTTCACCATATGATCTACAGTATTGTTACTTCATACAGCAGTCTGTTATCTATCAAGTTCAGCGTGGTCACACTGGCAGTGTGAGTGTGTCTGTGCAGTGTATTGTACAAGCTGGTGTGTCCCTGTGTGTGCTGGCAGCTGTTTGGATGTTAAGGATGGAGAAAGGAGGAGGTCTGGTGTATTGAGTGGAGGGCTGAGGTGTACAGTAATCATCATGAAACCCTCGCAGGAGAAATTAAACTCAAGGAAGAGAGAGGAGAGCTATGAAACATGGAGGATGATTTTCATTTAAAGGAGTCAACGAGCTGCTTGAGAGATAAACCTGTGGTGAAGATTGGTATCAGTGAAGAAGCTTCTGTTGATATGCACTGAGCAAAACATAAAACATATTTAGCTCTACTTGATAGTATAAACTGCTTTATGGGAGAGTAGAGTGACTGCAGGAAGAGAGGGAAACAAGCACCAATGTAACAAAAATGCAATTTGTTAAGGTAAATAGCCTGCATAATGAACATTTTTTAGATGTTTTGCAACAGCATACAAGTTAAATACATGCTGATGGAAAGACAGACCCAGATTAGACAAAAGCCCTGAAAGCAATCACAAATCTCTAATGTTCTCTATCTTTGTCTCTGTTTCTCCAGCTCTTAGCATCAGATGGCGTCCAGCAGAGCTTACCGGTTACTGTGGCAATAACGGTGCTGGACGCTAACGACAACACTCCAGTTTTTGCTAATGTCTCCTATAATGTCAACGTGTTTACTGATATAATGCCTGGAGAAACTGTGATACAGGTACGTGGTCTACTTATTATCACCAGTTCTTGAAACGTGGTATTAGCAACATTCTTTATGAAAGAATTGCACTTTATATTGATGAGGAGTCTGATATTTGCACATCTTTCATTATGTTGTAAGAATATGTGAGCGGGTTTTTGGACACATGGTACCTGTGTGTGTGCATGTCTTCCCCAGCTGTCGGCAGTAGATTCTGATGCAGGTCCCAACGGTCAGGTCACTTTCCGGATATTAGCTGGTGCCCAGGGATATTTTCTTATTGGAAAGAGGTAATTATATCTCTACACTACAATACTTTATATGTAGAACATATTTTAATATTAAAAGAATGGTTCAGTATTCTGGGAAACACTTATTTGCTTTCTTTATTAGTTAGATTGATATTCATGTATGTGTGCTAAAGCTATGAAGCTACTGCCAGCAACTGGTTTGTTTAGCTTAACATAAAGAGTGGAAACAGGGGGAAACGGCTAGCCTGGCTCAGTCTAAAGGTAAGCAAAAAACAAGTACCTCTTTAAGGCTTACACAGGTGATACAGCACTCTACATAATGGCTAACATTTCACTCATGCTATACATATGTAGCCACAGCCTGCGATGTATTTTTACATTATTTTTTCACTCAGTGACTACAGTAGGTGTTGTGCTCTGAGCCCTGCCAAAACACGAAGTGACTGTCACTGGGGGAGGCAATGAAAAAGGGCTGAAGCTGCTCTGCTGCAGCTCCACCAATGTATTCCTTTAATTACACAAGATGTGTAGGTGTTATTTAAAGCTCACTAATTCACACATTATATCTTGTCTGTTTAAGCTGTACAAACACAGTTGTTTGAACATTACAAAGTGTAGTTATACAGAGGATTAATGCAGCTAAACATTACTTGACCAGTCACTTGTGTTGTCATCTGGTTGGTGTGACCTTGAGGGAAGAAACAGAAAACGAATAAGGATGTATGCCAAAAATAAATTCAGTTGATTCCTCAGTATAAAAACAACTGTTTAGTGCTGCTGCTCTCATTGAGTGTTGAGCATGAGAGAACAAATCCATGTTCAAAATGGCAAAAGTTCCTCAAGTAACTAGACCTGTAGATTTCTGTGGTATTATTAGATGGTATTATTGGTGTGGTATTCTGTGGTATTATTATTATTAGATGGAGCGACAGTGGTGCGGTGGGTAGAGCAGTCGTCTCCCAACCAGAGGGTTGAACGTTCGAATCTCGGTACCTGCAGTCCACATGTCAAAGTGTCCTTGGGCAAGACACTGAACCCCCCCAAGTTGCTCGTGATGGCGGCGCATATACACACAGCAGCCCGGGGCCCTTGGCTCCAAACAAAATTTCATTATATATGTTACAATGACAATAAAATAAAGCTTCTCTTCTCGTGTCTCAATGTTGATATTAAGTTCTATAAAATGTATAAATGCCATTACATAATTTAAGTAATTGCCATAGATAAATAAGGCTATTGATGGCCCAGCTGATGGTATCTTGTAGTTTATACATTTCCAAAAACCAAAGTAGTGGCACTGTGGAAAATGCAGTGTTGAGTAGCCCAGATTAAATGTTAAGATTCTACAGCTTCCTTTTTAGTGTTGTAATTTGGACATGTGTAAGCATGTAATACCACATAAACTGTTTTCACAGCTCTGGGGTCATCACTGTGACCCCAGGTGTTCAACTTACCATGGGCCAGAGATATGCATTGACTGTAGAAGCCATGGACAACGCGCCTGTAACTCAGAGAAGGTAAGGGGTTCTGAAGCATAGTTTTACTCTACAAGGCTGTTTTCTTCTGTTTTGCGCACACAGTGATTGTGTGTTGAGCTCTGAGTGCTGCCAAAGCACCGGCTTGAAAGGTCATCAGGTGTTCATAGCTTCACATTCCTTGTCAGACACTCCACAGCACTTTCCAGCCCCACCTATTTCTATTTTCATCTATTCACATTGTTTTATTTTTAGAAACTGTACATCATGGATTCTAGTTTTCTAATGGAAAATGGCAGTAAAGGAGTTCAAGAGAGGAAAATTAGTGTGTGAGAAGGATAGTGAGAAAAGGGGAAAAAGTAAAAGAAAAGTAAGCATAATGAAATGATGCCCTAGTTACCCTCTTCTTGAGAAACGAAAAGAAGATTATACTGTCTGTATGTCAGAGAAGGGACCATTTAGAATAAATGCCACAGATGGTAAAAGAAACTAAATGTAGTGCACTCTGGTCCTGTTGCACTCTAAAGGATAAGGATTGACTTAATAAGGTGGCTTTTTATTTTTTATGATTGTTCCTCCCCTCACGTCTCCTGTCTCCTGCCCTTCATCTCTCCTTCATGGATCAAAGCAACAAGGAACCATAACTTTCACCAAGAGCAGCTGCTCCCAATACTCTGCAAACTCTGTGTATTGATTTGGTAGCTAGCTGGCAGAGAGTATTAAATAGTGAAATTTTAGTTCTACCAATTGCTGTGCAACGTTTGAGATCAGCCATTGAACTGGTCACTGATTGCTCCACAGACTGCGCCGGCAGAGACTTTGATTCCTTGAGTTGTTTGCTGCACCATGCCTCAACTTCACTTAAGAAACATGATAGGATGGGGCACTGTGGGAACATGCTATGTGCTTTTGCAGGTTCAAGAAAAGTGGGATGTCATGAATCTAAACGATCAAGTAACACTGGTCCTTGTAGAAAGGACAAACAAGCCAAGCCACAGGATACACAAAATTTTGGCATAGATTCCCAGAAACATTTAAAAATGTTTTATTGTTTAAAGGAAAGACACAGTCCAGTGAAGAGATTATCATTATTAATAGGCTTGTGTAAAAAGAAGTTGGTTCATATAGGCAGAGCAGGACTACTCCTATTTCCATCACTGATTACACTGATCAGCCATAACATTATGACCATTAACAAGTGAAGTGAACAACATTGACTGTCTCGTTACAATGGCACCCATCAGTGTGTGGGGTATATTGGGCAGCAAGTGAACCTTTAGTCCTCAAAGTTGTGTTGGAAGCAGGAAAAACAGGCAAGTGTACGGATCTGAGTGACAGAGGCCAAACTGTGATGGGTCAGATCATCTCCCACACTGCAGGACTTGTTGGGTGTCCCTGGTCTGCAGTGGTTAGTACTAACCAACAATGTCTAAGAAGGACAAAAAGGGAACCAGCAACAGGGTGATGGACGCCCAAGGCTCTCTGATTGAGTTGATCTTCTGTAGTTCATCCTTTTCAAAAGGAATCTTTTGAAAATGTCATATCATACCTAGAGAGGGGAGGCTGTTGAATTTGTCTAAACAGTTCTCTTTAACTTATCCTCACGACCATAGTTTTCACTCCTTTTACATAAGTTTTTCACTGAATGGTTGACACATTTGTGTTCTTCCTGACAGAACTATGGAACTATGATTCACAGAAGATGCACAGTGAGCTGCAGAGTGACACGAGAGCCAACAAACCGCCACATTGATTCCTTGTGTACACAATATTAGGCAGGTGGTCATATTGTTATGACTGATTGGTGTGTAACAAAATATGAAGTCAGTGAATGGTCTGATATTTAATTTGAGCTGTCAGCAGCCAATAGTTGAGACCAAGCCAACCTGAAAGAGCAGGATAGGACAGGTGTCTTAAAACAAAAAGGCAAATGGCCATATGAAACAAACAGTTTTTGCTTATTGTAATTGTTTCTCCTGTTTATCCTGGTTCTTAAGGGATCCTTTTTCATGTGTTAAAGGAAGTTCAAATATTTTGCATAAAACTCAATCATCCTTCCACTGTGGTGGTTACACACAGATGGACTACAATGACCTGTAAATCTGCTCTAAATATGCACTTGGAAAACAATTTAAGAATGCACTGGTGTTGTCAGTTTTTGGTCCCTTGTAATGGAAAGATAAGGATGGAGGTTAAAAAGTAAGAGAAAATACTAAATAAGACGAACAGCCAGAGCTACGACCAACTACCTTCATTTGTCAATTGTCATAAAATCTAGAACAATCTCTCCTCCCACACTCGGCTCCAGCTATGTAGCTGCCAAATCAATACAGAATGTGAACCCCTGCAGATTGAGGTTGTTCCAGTGATTGGCTCACAGATTGTCCCCAAATTTCCCCAGACCCCCTGTTTATCTCGGCTGAAAACATAACCTGCATAACAAATCAATATTTGTCTCAGTGCTATTTCATTTGTTGAAACTATGGATCAAGACCCCAAAGTGAGCTGAGTGCCCTCTACCTGGTGGCTACCAACAAGACCTGAGTGGCAGGCAGCAATTTCTTTATTTGATCCCAGCCTGTGTGTATAACATCTTTATGTTTAGGGGGATTGGACTGGTTAAAGAACACTATGCGTTAGAAGGGCTTTTGCATGGCGTAGACAAACGCGCCCCAGAATACGGAAGACAGTTTATGGACTGGTTAAAGAACACTATGCGTTACATTCAGATTAGAAGGGCTTTTGCATGGCCTAGACAAACGCACCCCAGAATACGGAAGACAGTTTTATGCTTGGGGGTCTTATTTATACTTTCACAGAACTGAAGGGTAAGAGAAAAATGAGTCACCACCAAGTGTTCGATGTAGTACTTGGACAGAGAGAGCAAGATGGAGCTCATTTTGCACTGTATCTTATGAGACTTATAATACATTATAGAAGTGGCACAAAATCGCAGTTTGCACATTAGTCAATGCATATTATTGTACACAATGAAAAAACAAACACTTTGCGTTACTAATTATTGAATGGGACAAATTTGGTTAGTTTTTACTTGAATTATTTGGCTAAGCTCACATGTGGGCAGACATTGAGTTGGCCCTCATTTTAGCCCAGAACCACACACCCCTGACTAATTTCAAACACAAGATATTACTGGATAATTGGTAGCAAACTTGTGTATATATATAATATTATCAGTAGTATTTTATATGGTGTGGCTAAAGCTGTAGTATAAAGAACAGAACTTCATTGGAGGACAGGTGCACAAATAATGTTTAATCTTCCAGTCATCTCTGCCTTCATATCATTGTTTTCTCCCCTTCTTGCACTTCATTCAGATGTAATTCCACCTTTTTCTTTTACACTTTCTCTAAATAAACTTTATTTGAATAATGAGAGAACAGACCTGACAGGCGCCTGTGTGCCTATGTTTAATGTGAGCACTACATCGTGGGCGATCGACTGACCTGTACAATGTGAGGAGCGAAGTCACGGGAAGGCTTATTAAAATGTATGAGTCAAAACTGTTCTAGATTAATAACAATCAGTGTCTGCCTAGTTTTAGACACGCACACACACGGGACAGAGTTTCTCTGTCTTACTGAAACCTCATTCAACACCACTGTTGCCCAAAGTAAGTCACTGCATGTATCTGACCAAATGTAATGTCATGTACATGCCAACTGATCAACAATAGTAGTATTAGAGGTAGTACTATGATGTTAATAGACCATTACAGCTATAGTAATCATATCGATTTTATCAACTGCCTTAATATTAGCCTTTTACTTGCCAAACCATTAGTTTAGTGACTTGAATCCAACCTGAGTTCAAGTCTCTACCTCTGGTAAAATGCAGTCGTAGGAAACATTGTGTATAAAGCGTATTCAAATGAGCCAAAACTTAAATTTCTCTGTGGGATGTCGAGAAAGGAGAAGAAATTAAGCTATAGTAGAAACCTTGACTGAATCGTTTCCAGTCCCTCCCTGGCTTTCATCAGTAATGCCACTGAATTGTTTGACGAAAACACCCTGGCTTTCACTCTCTCTGGCGGCTTACGTTTTCCCAGCCTTTATCTCTCTATATATTTATTGTTGTGAGCGTAAACAGATTTTGTGGGCTATTGTTTAGACCCAAGGTTCTTAGGCTTTTTCAGTCAATGATCTAGTTTGAGTGGAGTTAATCTTTCCCTTCTCTGCCCTCTGGAACTCAGGAACACAAAGTAAATCCCTGTGGTTTCTCACCTTAAGATTTAGAGAGAGGAAAAACTAGATATCACTTGATCACTTGTTTGGGGGGGCTGGTAAATGGCAATAACAGTATCATAACATGCTAATTAAGAAGTGCTTTTTCATCCTAATGGGACAATGCTTTCTTTAATGAGGCAGGAGGGAAGTATTTCAACCTGTAAAGCACACTGACCCTACTGATGTGCCAGTCAGAGCAGACTCTGGTTGTAGACCCAAACACTGTTCAAACTTGAACTTTTATTTAAAAATCATTATAAAAACAAGAAAATATTCCCACTAAGTAACCTGTGTTATGGTCTCTAGGAAGCAAAGTTCTCCGTTACTGGTTCATTTCTGCTCCAAAGTTCTCCGTTACTGGTTCATTTCTATTTTAAAGTCATTATTGAAAGCCTCTGCTCTTCTGGATTATCCAGAATCACAGTTTCAGATGATTCAGTCTTGAAACTGGTATAGCAGATGTGATTTCTGTTTTTACATTGGTCTTACATGAATTTGAAGCTAGTATGGTGTCTTTCAGTTAATGTATGCAAGGCAGTTAATTTGCCATTAGGCTGAAAACTACAGTTCTCCAAACTATTATGACCCAGGTCATCAAATACTTTCAAAAAGAAGAGGAAACAAACACAAGGACACAAGCAGTTTACAGCACTGGATATAAATGGGTCTGTCAGTTTTAGGTCATTATGGTGACATGCGGTTTTGGAGTAAGTGTTACACTGATTAAAAATGTCAGTAAATACAGTTTATTGGACAGTCTAGGTTATTTATCAGTGGGGGAATTAAACACTAAGGCTTCATGTTATAAAATAATCAATTGTCAGATACCACTCTATACAAATGCATCTTGTGGGTTCAGTGCTTTATACTGTACCTTTGAAACCCAATGTAATTCCTTTTTTAACCTAACTAACTTTTAACCTAACTCATTTTTAGGTGTTTTTCCTTTCCTTCTGGAAACCCTTATTTATGCAAATCCCTTTTAAAACACGCTAATCAAGTTTTCCTACCTGTTGTGGAACTTCTGGAACCAGTTCTTTATCCGTGTCTAATCACTTAATTTATTCCTAAATGGTGTTATGGGCATGTGTACAAGCCCCTTGACAATATTAATTGTAGTATATTAAAGATTTAGGTGTACTGGAGCAGGATTCAACTTTAGGTAACGGTTGAAATTCTGAAACTCTTCACACATACAGAGCTGCACAATAAAGCGTAAAGTGGTGGATAATGTAATACTACCCTACAAAGATGGTGCACATACTTCTATTAAAGTGCACAAATTGGAAAATAGATTTTTCTTCAGTAAAATGGCACAAAACTTTACATGAATGAATCACTGAAACAGTGGGATGGGTTTGCTGAACAGAAACCTTAGGCCCAGCAGGACACTGTCTAGTGTCTTTCCCAATCACACTGTTGTTGACTTCACGCCATTATCGATTAGTTAAACACAATGAAAACACTGGTCAACCACTCTTAAAGTTAAATTACAGGCCATTCATCCTCTCTGCCATTGCTTTTCTACCCACTATCTTTAGCTCGCTCGTCTTTTCCTCCTCCTCTTTGTTCATTCCTCTGCTGGTATTCCTTCTCCATCTGCTTCTCTGTTGCATACTGTTTCTTGGTCTTCGTACTCTCTCTGTCTATCCAGTTTGCTTTACCACATTCTGTCTGGTCATTTCACCTTCTCTCTCTCTATCTCTTCAGGTCATCTATTACTACAGTCTATATTGAGGTTTTGCCCCCAAACAACCAGAGCCCTCCACGTTTCCCTAGACAACAATACGACCTGGAGATCAGTGAAGCTATGAGGACTGGAGCTACACTGCTTAATCTGCAGGTCTGTCTCTTTGTAGTTGTATGGACACTTATTGACATGATGTATTTGTGTAAGCCTCGTACCCTAGACCTAATTCTAAAACATTTATCTGACTTTTGACTATTACAGCTGTTTGTTCTTTACATTTTCAGTGTCTCTGCTCACTTGCTACACTTTTACACAGTCTTAATTGCAACCATATCATTCAGGGGTGACAGCAGACTAAAAATATAGGTGTGTGGGTTGGGTGTTAATGTGTCTGTGTCTATGTACTTAAGGCAGTAGATCGGGAGAAAGACCCCATCACCTACAAAATCTACAGCGGAGACCCCCTTGGGCATTTTGCACTACAGCAGACGTAAGTGTGCACACAAAAAATTATTTCATCATGTATGATTTTGAGAAACTAAAGCAGTACTCTTTTTTTTTTTTGGTGTGACTGTGAACAGTCTGTAGCTGTGCTATCTGTGTACTGTACACATATGTAGCTCCCCCCCAAAGGGCAGTTTTAGGATTGAGGTTAGAATTAGGTTTAGGTTGGGAGAAGAGTTGGGGTTAGCCATGTAGCTGTGATGGTCAAGGTTAGAGAAAATGGATGGGGAATCCTTATATCGGTGACTGTCCTCACAAAGAGAGCTGAAAACGTGTGCGTTTACAGTTTGAGCATGCGTAGTTGAATGTAGACTACATATCATCTAGAGCTCAGGCTCTGCAGAGGGCAGCACGTAAAGACACCCATACTCTCTTTACACTTTCATATGCTTCCTCATTAACAATGCATTTCTGATGCACTTCCACAGGGAGGAGGGGCAAGAGAAACAAAGGTATGGTAAACTGCAAGAGGAGAGGCTGAATATTAAAGCTGGGGAAGAAAAGAGTGGGAGACAGAGTAAACATTTTGGAAAAAGAGGCAGGGTAAAGAATGAGGAACAAAATGTTAGACCTGAGAAAAAAACAACAATGCTTCAAAATCAGAGAAAAGTACAGTAAAAGAGACTGTTCATAACAGCGAAGCTTAAAATTAAGTGAAGCTTTATTTTCTGCATTCTGAATATTTGATGGATTCTGTCACACTGTAAAATCTTCAGTAAGTGCCAGAGTCTTTCAGCTAGGTTATTCTTATACCATGCCATATAGCTCACATTAGCCGTATGGCTCAGTTAAATGATCTAGAAATGTTCTTAATACATCTTGCAGTGCAAGTGGAATTCATCTAACACATAATAATGGGGAAAAGATTCAGATTACAGAATTAAAAGGGATGCCATCATGATGAGAGCTTGGAATAAATCTGAGTTATCTTGGATTCATTCAGAACAGTGGGATTTACTGTAGGCTCCTCTACACATGATGTAGCAAATGTTTGGTTTGAGGTATGTGGAGATGTGTCAAAATGTGCGGTGGAGATGAGAGAATGAGACTGTGTGTTTACAGACTTTGCTTTTCAGGAATCTTCTATAAATATACATGAACCTATTAGTTTGTTTCCCTCTGTAGACCACTTAACATCTGCACGCACACATTCACTTGTACACCAGCACACCTCTGCACACACTGTTGATATTTGGAGAAGACATTTCATATGGTTTCTAATCCAATAAGGAGATAAAACTAAACAACTTAAATCATTATGTAAATTTTCACTTGGCAAATAAAGTGTAATCACTCTTGGCCAACGTAAAAGGGTCCTGCTGGTTTTGATCATCCTTGGACTGGCTGCGCTGAGGCTGTTGAGCTCGAATACATTTTTACATCTGAACTAATCATTTGCTCTTAAATCATATCTATTTTCTCTTAGCTAGTTGCTGCTTTTTCCAGCTTTATTCTTGTTTTGTACAGCAGCATTCATTTGATTACACCACAAATCATTAAGTGCATGTCAGCATTGTATATTTTCTACCAGTATTGATATTGTGAGACTTTTTAATCACCATAGGCCAGCAAAATGTAATGAACTCTGTATGTGATGTATAATTATTCAGATTCTGGGAGGATCTTGCCATAGTTTTGATGCATTTTGCATATAAACATTTTTTTTAAACCTAAGAATAGTGTTTTTTAGTTGTTAAAGCAGCAGCACCCAGTAGGGTGTTCCTTTAATATAATTGTGAGTGAGGTGATGGGTATGAGGCATCCTCTGCATCACCAAAGTACCCATAATGATTTTACTGTCATTATGGGTGTTAATGCTTTAATGCCGTAGCTACCAGTGTTGTCTCCAAAGTGGTGTGTGTAAAGGGGAATCCATATGTCAAGAAAACGAATAAGGTTCTCATGTTGCCAGACTTAGTACGGAGACTACTTACAAATAGTTGGTATCGTCAGGATGGGAATGGGATTACTAAAATGGTTAGCAAACACCAACCCCTCTCATAAAATCACAAGATTTTTGAGTATGAAAACCAAATTGTAGTGCTGTACACCACACTATAGTTTTCTGCTGTTTATTTTTTGTTGACTCTCTGGGTTTTTTTATTTTTCTGTTCTAATTTTAAGCTCATGCCTAGAGAGCTAACATGGCTCTGTGTGTTGTCTCCCTCCAGTTTGGGATATTTGGTTCTGGACAAGCCTCTGGACAGGGAATCTGTGGATGTTTATACACTGGTGGTCATAGCTACAGACGGACGCCCAGATGGGGTAAGAAACTTGGCTGTACTACAAAGATAGTACTGGTTGTCTTGTGTTGTTTTACATCACTGTGGAATTAGAGTGAGTGGCTACTGGGAGGGAATTGAAATCTTTCACGGTGAGATGTCACGAACAACAACTGTTGTATTATGCAAAACCAATGGCGCCCCCAAGGGGTGGCCATGACCCCACCCCAAAATTTTCCAAAAAATTTGAAAGGAGCATTCTTAAAGGAAATTATTTTTGTACATGATTTAACTAAACTATTGAAATGGAATGCCATATTGGTGGTTATAATGATTGTATAATAGAATATAAAATATGATCAGAATCAGTTTTATTGGCCAGGTGTGTTGGACACACGAGGAATTTGACTCTGGTACATCGGCTCTCAATGTCTAAGTACATATCCCCATGCAAGGGACAAGTAAACAGTAAACCAACATAAGGCTGTGTAATATAACAAAATAAGCAGTATTAACAAGCAACAAACAGGGCAAACAATGCAAAATAAGCAGTATAGACAGGCAGTAAACAATGCAGACAGACAAAGGAATGCTCATTGTGAAATGAGATAAATAGGAATAAAGATAGAGTACTTGTATGAATTTGTATAATCTCTACAATGTATATTTACAGGTATTGCACACATGATGTGCCAGACATAAATCTATCAGCTAATAAATATTTATATTTAAGCAACCCACACAGTTTATTATATTGTTGATGATGCATTCAAACGGGAATCATTAATTCATGATTCCTTGACTGGTCTCATGTGAACATAATCAGATTATGATATTCAGCCAAGGAATTAAACAATATTGTGTTTTATTTTGCAGTATAATATAGTAGCTTTACCTTTGATAACTTGCTCTATGCTGCATATTCTGTTTAGTGTGCCACCCCAAGATTTTTACTGCCATTAATAAAAGAGGGATATTACAGGCAATTTTTGGGAAACCTCTTTTTGTAGTGGTAATAATTATAATGACTCCGGTCTTCCAAATAAAAAAGCCCTAACCTATTCATAACAAACCTAAAAAAAAAAACGGAATGATTGTGATGAGCTCCAGCCCTGGCATAAAGTGGACACCATATGGAATTTAACAGATACATGGGCAGAGGAGAGTCTAACAAATTACGACCTGGAAAAAAAGATACATCTGAGACTCACCTGGCCTTCATAATTTGAATAGTCAGATGTGTTGGAGCATAAAACTGTGCACTAACAAAAGACAGTGATTTAGAGCACATACCAATCTAACTCTGAGTGCAAAAACTTTCTAGTAGGGGTTGTTTTCCAGCTGAGAGGAGTCAAAGAAAAGGAGCTATACAGTAAACAGTTTTCTAGTTGTTAGGCACTTCAGTGTGAGAGAACAACCTGAAAATGCTGTTGTGAATGCATGTCATTTTCACACAACAGCATCTGCAGACGTAACCAGCTTTTGTGTGGAATTCCGACAAAACATGTAAAAATACAGATTGCTTTGGATGTGTTTACTCTCTGCAGGAGCTATTTTGCGCAGAGAAAGGAAAGTGTGCCCTTCTCCATTTTCTCATTTACCTAATTGATCACAGGTCACCAGAATGTGTCTCTGTGTTTGTGTTGCTCTTTCTTAAAAGTCCAAACTTGAGTATCTCTAATAAGAAAGTCAAATGGAGACATTGGATGAGGACCCCCTGCCTTCCCCATTTTCCTCCTCCTCTATTCCTTTGGCTGTCATCAGTTTCTTTCCTCCATAATCAGCCATTATTAGTCTAGCATTAAAAGAAGTTTCTCTCCTACTCTTCACTGACTCTTCCTTCCCCCACATGTCAATTAAAACAAAGTAAAGTTTAAGGTCTCTCTGAGGACAGAAAATGCTGATTTGAGTACTTTGACCTTCTCTCTCACACATATCTTTGCACACAGTGTGAAGGGGGAGAACAAATAGGCAGAAGTTAGAAAGAAGGAAGGATGTGTGACATACTCAGGGGACTCTTATTGCCTTAACAACTGTACAGTGTGTTTGTACACAGTTCCATAAAGGAGTCTTGGCACATATATGTACACACATACTTAGTCGGTTCATTTCAGGACCTTGGCAATTAATGTGCCCCAGAGGTCTTTGTCTGAAAATGGCTAAAAGTAGTTTGTACATTTTTCTGTTTGACATTCCATTACACTTAGAACAAGAGGAAATAAGAGTGGGTGCTTTTGAATAGTAAGAGAGTGAGAGAGAGAAGGAATGGTAGAGACAGAAGGACAGACATTGGAAAAGAAGATTGTGGTGTAGTTGCCCCCTACAGACCCATTAATCAGCATCACTTGAAAGGCCTTGGGTTCTCTTCATAAGCATTTTGCACACACATACAGTACACCTGTCTGGGTTTCCTCATTGGTAAATGCCCCACTGAGAGAATGTCAGGCTACAAAATGCCTAATTGGCTATTTGGCCAGTGAATCCATAATACTCCCACAGACCCTACAAGCTGGTGCAGTAAACCAGCTCCACTGTACGGACACTGTGCATTGTACAGTACACGCTGGTCTAAGTACAATTTTGGGGAGGTGGCGAGGGGTGGCACCCCCAGATTTTGATGTGCCACTCCTGCCAGTATCATGTTTGTCAGCATTAATCCTGGGAGGGGGGCAGGGGTAGTAAATTAAACCCCTGGTTCTATGAAATAATAAAACATACATCTTTTTTTTATTTAAACTGTTTGTTTAGCTAATTTTGGCTGGGCTCCTGATTGATTCCCAGCTGGGAACATCACATCAGCAAGATAATAAACTCTGAGGGGTGCAGGCATTGAGCAACGATGTGCTCGGAGCCCCCTCATGCAAAATGAGCTTACTGCATCTCTTTCTGTCTGCGCGTGTGTTTGCCGCCATTGCTCACAGTCGGCCTTTTGTTGTATCAGATCTTATTCTACTTTGTTTATTGGCATTCTGATAAACTTGTTTAGTCAGCCATGAGCTCCTGACCTCAAAATGCTTGCATCGCCTTGCGCCCTTCCAGCTTCAACATCCTGTTGTCACCTCTGTGACCACCGATCCCTCACACACACAGACCCATGTTGCTTCTGTCTCTTTTCACCCCGCTGTTGTGAATCACTTGCCTCATTCTCATTTTCCTCCACCTCCCAGTTCCCATCTTTAAAAGTCAAATCTTCTATGACTCTCTTTCATTCTCATTAAAGTCACATTAAGAAATTGGTGCCTTCCTACCAACCCCTTTCTCTTGCTCCTCTGCCTTGACTTTGTTTTCATGATTTTTGCTGTTGACTGTGAAACTGTGTGAATGAGGGCCATTTACTGTTAGAATATATTTTAATGAATCCCCTCCAGTGAATATGGCCAAGAAAGATGGGTTTGAGTAGTAAATCTATGGGTTTGATGGCTTATAGGATCCCAGAACACTGCACAGCACTTCATAATATTATAAGACATGATTTTTGATGTTTACAGTCGTTTTAGCTGCCTGTGTGGTAGAAATACAGTTTTCACATTAGAAAATAATCTTCCAGGAATCTGTGCTTTTACAAATTTGATTGGCAATGCAACATCTTTCAGCTGATGCTGCCTGGCCTTAAGGCAAGCATTGAACTAGGGCTGAAGTCTACGTTTCTTTGACCTTTAACTACTGTTTTCAATAATTTTCACATTGCCCTTAATTATCCATCTGTTAACACAGATATCCCTTTCACGTGGCAAGAGAAGGTGCAGCCGTTTTTAAATCGATTTTTAGAGTGAACAGTTGTTACAAGCACAAAGAGCTCAGCCAGGACCAGAGTGCAGCCAATTAGCAAGCAAATGGGCTCTTTGGTTCGTTACATACGATAGCTGTTAGGAGGAGGGATGGATCATCTAAGATACTAAAACAAAACCTATGTAAAGGCAGATTCATGCTGGTTAATCATGTAACAACCAAACCTCCTGACTCTAGTCAAACATGTTAAACAGAATATAAAATTGAGCTGCTTGTGTTTTGAACTGACCTGAATAATGGCATGAATTTGTTTGTATGTGTATAGACCTCCACTGCAACAGTGAACATTGTGGTGACAGATGTTAATGACAATGACCCGCTGTTCGATTCTTCACTGCCAGTGAACCTCACTGTCATCGAAGAGCAGGCTCACGCTTACGTCGGACTGGTCAAGGTAGGAAGATGTGTACCAACACCCACACATGCACACTCTAAAAAATGTACAGAGAAGCAGCAAACACAAGTAGAGTATATCCTATATACTGTATACTGTATATTACCGCATTTTTATATGAGGATGTGTTGTGCTCTGTGTTCATTATGCATTTGCTTGTGAGGTTTTTGTGTACTTTCCCCTGAACAAATTTTTTTTTTTTTTTTTTTTTTTA